GTAGGTGAGACTGGGCTCGGACTAGTCCGAAATAAATACAGGCTTTCTGCAATTGCATCGGATTCGGCTCCCTGGTAGTCTTTGGGGTTTATGACACTTGGGCATTACAAGGACAACAGCAATCTCTATGATCAGGACCATCCTGAGAACAACTCTCCTTCTGTTTTTAGCCAAATAAACAAATCCTGGGGACTCAAGTTTGATAAGCTGCATTCTTTTTCTGCAATACACCCAACATCATGGAACAAATTATGCATTAACACTAAGTAGCCAGACAAATTAAATAAAGAAGCTGAGATTTTTAAAATATATATATTTTATTGATTTTTGTACAGAGAAGAAGGGAGAGAGATAGAGAGTTAGAAACATCAATGAGAGTCATCGATCAGCTGCCCCTTGTACACCCACTACTGGGGATATGCCCGCAACCAAGGTACATGCCCTTGACCGGAATCTAACCTGGGACCTTTCAGTCCCCAAGCTGACGCTCTATCCATTGAGCCAAACCCGTTTCGGCTGAGATGCTTTTTAAAAAAACAAAAATGCAAGGTCTCTAAAGCAGTAATCTTAATTCTGTCTCTGTCTAGGTTGAGACCCGAGTAAGCTACTCATCTTGGCCCCAGGAAACTCATCTGAAATATAGAAATAAAACAGATCAGCCCAAACCGGTTTGGCTCGGTGGATAGAGCATCAGCCTGCAGACTGAAAGGTCCCGGGTTCAATTCCGGTCAAGGGCATGTACCTTGGTTGTGGGCACATCTCCAGTAGGGGGTGTGCAAGAGGCAGCTGATCAATGAGTCTCTCTCATCGATGTTTCTAACTCTCTATCCCTCTCTCTTCCTCTCTGTAAAAAATAAATAAATAAATAAATAAATAAATAAATAAATAAAATATTTTAAAAAAAGAAATGAAATGAAACAGATCAACCCTAGGATTATTTTTATATCAATCAATAGAAATGATCATAAAAGTCTTCAGAAATAAACTTCTGAATAGGTGCTTAAGAAACAAGTAAGTCTATCAAATGTTTAGTATACATAAAAGGTTAAGAACTCTGCCTTTTATTACTAAGTCCAAATTTCCTATAGAGACTGCAACCACAGTAAGATACATTTTTCCATCATAACTCAATAAACTAAACACACACAGATAACATAGTTTTATGAAACAATACTAATCTATACTATACTACTCTCATGCACTCTGAAAATTTTTTTTTAATGATGGGACCCAATAAACTGATCTCACAAGCTGTTAACAGGTTACATCCCACAGATTGAAAAACACTGTATTAAAGTAACTTCAAAATGTCTAAAATACATATGTTAAACACTACAGACACGGTGCACAAAATTCATGCATGGGTAGCTTCCCTAGGCCTGGCTGCCGCTGGTCAACAGACTGGCAAAAAAATCAGGGGCCTTCCCCTCTTGCACCTGCCTTGGTCTGGTGCCCCCTGTTTGCTGGCCCCATCTCCCACACTGCTGGTCGCCATCAGCTGGGCGACCTGGGACCCCGCTCGCAGCTGCCTTGGCCTGGCACCATCTGCTCACCTGCTCCACCATCCTGCTGCAGTCCCACTTTTTAAAAATATATGTATTTTATTGATTTTTTTTATAGAGAGGAAGGGATAGAGATAGAGAGTTAGATAAATCAATAAGAAAGAAATATCCATCAGCTGCCTCCTGCACACCCCCTACTGAGGATGTGCCCACAACCAAGGTACATGCCCTTGATCAGAGTTGAACCTGGGACCCTTCAGTCCACAGGCCGACACTCTATCTACTGAGCCAAACCAGCTAGGGCTGCAGTCCCACTCCTGACAGGGCCCATCGGGCCGGCACTGCCTCCACTGCCACCTGCTGCTAGCGCTATGTCAGCAATGCCTGCCATGTTCTGCGCCACCCCCTGGTGGTCAGCACATGTCTAACTCCTGGTCGGTCGAACTCCGCCCACAGAGACAATTTGCATATTAGCATTTTATTATATAGGATAGCAGCATCACATACAAAGTGTAAACCCATAAATATAAACCTCCTTTTAATATATATTAATCCCAGCCAATGTGGCTCAGTGGCTTAACATCAACCTATGAACCATAAGGTCACAGTTCAATTCTCAGTCAAGGCACATGCCAGGAGTTGTGGGCTCCATCCCAATAGGGGGTGTGCAGGAGGCAGCCAATCAATGATTCTCTCTCATCATTGAAATTTCTCTCTCTCTCCACCTACCTTCCTCTGAATTCAATATAAATATGTGTGTGTGTGTGTGTTGTGTGTGTTTACAAATAATCAGCCATTATTATTGTTGGAGTTTTGGTGAAATAGATTACTTGAATCTTATCTCCCTGTGAATTCTGCAAAGGAAAATATTACAAACTAGGCAAATGACCAGCAACAAAAAGTTTTTGGTCCCAAACCCCAATGTAGACCTCCCACATACTGGGAGAGAAAACCAATTCAAAGTAAGCAAGCAACAGGGGAACAGAGATGATACAAGTCTCCCGGTCTCAGTCCTGATTGCTATGCAGAAGGGAGTGTATTTCCAAGGGAAAGATGACCAGGGGCTTTTACTACTTTGCCTCATAAAAGACAAAGAACATCATTGTATTAACCTCTAAAAAGCAAAGTGACCCTGGGTAGCTCAGCAGGCTAGTATTGTCCAGAACACCAAAAGGTCAATTCCCGGTCAAGGCATATACCTAGGTTTCAGGTTTGATCCCTGGTCCGAATGCGTACAGGAGGCAACCAATCACATCGATGTTTCTCTTTCTCTCTCCCTCCCTTTCTTTCTCTAAAATCAATAAGAACATAGCCTCAAGTGAGGATACAAAGTAAATAAAAATAAAAGGCAAAGTAAGTCCACCCTAGAAATCAAAGACCAGAATAGCTGTACTGCTCTAACTTGAGGAAAGTCAGCAATGCTTTGATCTTGACCCAGTTTTAGAAAAAAGTGGAAGGTGGGTGGGCAGAGAAAAAAGAAATTGAGAAACATTGTGCTCTCCCCAACTCTGGTCACCATTCATACAAAGGCTAAAATAAAGCACATGATTTCTACCAAAAGGACTAGTCTCTCTGACCATGGGCCAATCTGCTTCTCAGCTTCCTCCATCGCCACCTGTGGCTGACCACAGCTATAGACCCAGACAGGTCAGTAATCATTAAAAAATGAAAACAAAAACTCTACTGATATTAGTAAATTACAAAGACCAAAAATTAAAATTTATTTTAAAAGAGCTGTTTAAATTTTGGTATAACATGTTAGTGCTGGGAACAGGAAAACGAGGTAACTTTCTATATCATACCTAGCACATTATGGGAGTTGATTAAATTCTAATGATAAAGTGGTAACAGGTACTAACATAAGAAATTTGGAATATTGAGTTTTAAAACCATAGGATTCACTCTAGGCCTTCCCTTTCTCTCCCAGGATCTTCTGGGTGCTCCGTTCCTATAGCCTTGAATCATTCCATTCACCTCCCCATTTCTCTACAATCCTAATTCTCTACAAGCTAAATTCATCAAGAGTTGTCTCTACTTTCTCATCTCCAATCATTACTCAGCCCCATCAATTCACCAAAACCTCTTTGTAAAGATAACCCATGATCCTCATGTTGCCAAATCCAATGGACACTGTACTGTCCTCATCTTACTTGACCTTTGCGATGGACAACTATTGTTTTTGACTGTCCTACACTCATTTCCCCTGCCTGGGTGACAGGATCCATTTTGTTTGGGGATCTATCCCTCCCCATTAATTACATTCTTGGCAGGACTGTAGATTAAGATATTCTTTTCTATCCTGGCCAACTACTGGACACTTGATCCACGTAGAACAAATCAGGCACTTTTCCTCGGAACATGAATCCTGAAAGTAACTAAGGACTGAAAAACGCTGCAGCAGCCCATTCATTCCAGTAATGCAGTTAGCAGCCCTCCCTGGGGCTGCTCATATTCCTGTCCTTTACAAAGTCAGGGCCTTCAGCATTTTCTCTGGTCCTGTGAGTTGCTCACATCCTGGTTATAAATTCTTCTTCTGAAGTAAATTGTTCACTTGCAACTGAAGAGGCATAACTGGCACTGTTTCTCAAAAGTGCTGCCTCCTTTCTCAAACACGATTCTCTTTGCTTCCAAGATACATGTTCCTTATTTCACTACTACCTTATTGGCCATCTCTCTAATCTCCTTTGATAACTCCTCTCCTCCTCCTCCACTGAGCCCCTAAATGTTAATGTTCCTCAGGATAGATTTCAGACCCGTTTTTCTTGCTATACTCTCTCCCTCTTGTGAATTCATCCAGTTTCTTGGCTTTAAATCAGATGGTCTCCAAATTTTTTATCTGTAGCCGGATATCTCCTCTGAGCTGCAGACTTGTAAATACATCTCTACGTAATACTTTAATTTAATATCTCAATTTTAACATGTTCAAAACAAATTCTCTCTCAAGCCTGTTTCCCATCATTCCCTACCAGCCCCTCTCACCACAACCCTCTACTCAAGGACCACTATTTAGGTCATTTAGGAGTAATCTTTATTACTTTATTTTCTTTGCTCCCAATATTCAATCTAGCTGTAAGTCCTATTGATTCTATCTCCAAAAGAGGAAATATAGCAAATCCACCTATTTCTTTACCACCCTACACCAGGACACCACCCCCTCTTGCCCTAAAGCACTGTTACCATCTCCTAACTGGTCTCCCTGCTTCTATTCTTGCCACCCTCCACTCTGTTCTCTTCACAGCAAGAATTATCATCTTGAAATGTGAATCCTATTATAATACACTTCCCTGTTGAAACTCTTCTCTAAGCTTTCCAATGTGTCTAGACAAAATCCAAACTCCTTATTCTGGCCTGTAAAAACCTATGTGAGCCATTCCTGCGTCTCCACCCTCCAGAGTCACCCTCCTTTACTTGCTCACCAAGTCCCAGCCAGAGGAAGCTCCCCTTAGCTCCTAGAACACATTAAGCTCTTTCTTTCTTTTTTCTTTTTCTTTTTCCCCCAGTTGTGCCACTGAGTTATAACTCAGAGTGTGTCTTTACACACTGGGCTAAAAAGACTCGGTTTTTGTTTTAATATTGCACTTCTTAAACCCACGCTCTTTCTTTATTATGGACTTGCACATGACATTTGCTCTCCCCAGGAATGCTTTTACCATTCTCTTCCATTGATTAGCTCCTTGTTTGTTTTAATCCTTCAGAGTTCAGTTTAACTGTTAACTCATTTAGAAAGGCTTTCCCTGATACCTTACTCAAAGAAGGTTCCCATACTCCCTCTATCATCTTCACTAATCACAATTTCTAATTCTTTCATTTGTGTTTATACAGTATTTTTTTTTGGGGGGGGGGTGGGAGGAAGGGGGGATGGCAATACCATAAATTGCAGGCTTCATAAGCAAGGGGAAGAACTAGTCTTGTTCACTACTATATTTCCCAGCACCTGGCATAGTACTTTATGTAAGTCACTAGAGGCCTGATGCACGAAATTCGTGCATGGGGGACGGGGAGGAGGTGTCCCTAAGCTCAGCTTGCACCCTCTCCAATCTGGGATACCCTCAAGAGCAGTCGGACATCCCACTCACCTACCTGCCTGCCTGATTGCCACTAACTGCTTCTGCCTGCCAGCCTGACCACCTCGTAAATACCCCTGCCAGTCTGATTAACGTCTAACTGCTCCCCTGCCAGCCCATTGTCCCTAACTGCCCTCCCTTGCTGGCCTGGTAACCCTCAACTGCCCTTCCCTGCAAGCCTGGTCGCCTGCAAGCTCTCCCCTGCAGGCCTGATTCCCCCTAACTGTCCTCCCCTGCCAGCCTGGTCCTTCCCAACTGCCCTCCTCTTAAAGCCTGGTCTTTCCCAACTGCCCTTCCCTGCCAGCCCCGGTCACCCCTAACTGCTCTCCCCTGCTGGCCTGGTTCTCCCCAACTGCCCTCCCTTGCAGGCCTGGTCCCTCCCAACTGCCCTCTCCTGCTGGCCTGATTGCCCACAACTGCCCTCCCCTGATGGCCATCATGTGTCCACATGGGGGTGGCCATCTTATCCACATGGGGGCAGCCATCCTGTGTGTTGGAGTGATGGTCAATTTGCATATTAGACTTTTATTATATAGGATAAGGAATTTAGGTCTTCCAGAGTCATTTCTGATACTGTGACCGCTCTAAGGTTTTCTTTACTATGAGCTTAAAGGGCTTCCACACAAGGTTCCGTGTAAGCACCTAGTAGGCACTGAATAAATATCTGTATAATAAATGAATGACATTGCAAATGATACCTAAATTTTTGTCTCTATTCCTGACCTCTTCTGAACTTCAAACTTTTGTTTCTAACTGCTTGCTACTATCTCCACATAGCTAGCCAATAGCAACTCAACCTAGCAATGTACTACATCCAGATTATCTTCACCACCAAACCTGTTCTTCTTCTTGGAACATTCTTTTCAATTATTGCCCAACCTTCCTCCCACTCAGCTGCAAATTCTAGATCTTTAACAATCCCTTTCATCTTCCCTATTGAAATAATCCCTGTATTCCCCCAAATGTATTTATATTGTAATAGCCTGTTTAGGTTCCTCATTATCTTTCTACTACCGTATTAAAATAAGCTTCTATCTGGCCACCCAGTCCTTAAAATCCCCCTCCATCTTCTATGCAGCCACTCGAGTTACCTTTCCAAAACATAGAAGTGTTTGTATTATTCCCCTTACTCAAAGTCCAGTGCTTCAGTAGTCAAACATCTAAGCATGGAATTTTAAAGATTCTACATGTCTACACCAGCATCCACTCTATTCCTTAATAAACTATTTACTCCAGGCCACGCTAAATTCACTATTAAATGAACACACTAACCTTTGTCAGTGCTCAAGGTCTTTGCTTGGGCTACCCTGTTTCCCCAAAAATAAGACAGTATCTAATATTAATTTTTGCTCCCAAAGATGAACTAGGTCTTATTTTCAGGGGATGTCTTATTTTTCCATGAAGAAGAATATGGTACACATTTATTGTTAAATGAAAATAAAGGAAATTTATTACCTGTATACGGTACGGTAGTACGGTAGTTGTCAACACAAACCAGACAAACTGTGAATCGTACAGTATCAAGAATTCACTCATTTATCCAATGACAATCGTATCATCATCTTCTGGAACATCATCATAACAATCCAATTCCTGAATTTGCTGTTGAATTTCCTGTGACTCCATTTCTTTCAGAATCAGTGGACCAAATCTCTCATGTTTAGCCTGGGCGGGAGGATGCCTTATATTTCACTCAGAAGGAAACCTGTAAGTAGGTCTTATTTTCGGGGAAACACGCTATTGACTACCGTGTTTCCCCGAAAATAAGACCTACTTACAGGTTTCCTTCTGAGTGAAATATAAGGCAATCAGAAATAAACACCCCCAATCTAGATCTGATCTTGTGAAATCCTTCCCCACCTTTAAAATTCAACTCAAATGCCATCTCATCCATTAAGACTCTCTGATCCTTTCCCTCCAGTCAGAACAAATCTGTCCTTACCTCAGTGTTTTCACAAAACAGTTTAACCCCTCTTTTAGCAATTACTTCATTTTCCTTTGGGTGCCAGTTGTCTACACGGAAATTTTTCTCATTGGTTAGGTTTGAGTTTATTCACCCTTCTTCCATTAATCTAGGACAATGCTGTGTACAAAGTAAACATTCGGGAAATATTTGCTGAATAAATAGGTAAGCTCTTTATAATTTACAGAGAAAAACAGAAAAAGCCAAAAGCTAGAGATTATATAACTTGCCAAAAATTAGGCATCTACTTCGATGTAGAACTTTAAAAACTAGAACCTAAATCTTCTGCTAGTTTAGCTGACTGTCCACACGAAGATAACACAAAGTGAAATTTCTTCCTTAACAAAATGTCCCTTACTTTATTTCAAAACGTTTTTTTAGTCTCTTTGAAAATATGCGGCATTGACCTTTTGCCAAAGTGAGGACGAAGTAAGTGTAAATTCTTAGGTCCCACGTTAATTGTATGTAACCTCCAAACAGTGCCTAAATGCATTTCAGAGTCTCATGAGCAAGTGACACAAACTTTAATAAACTAATTTTATCTGTTATTTGAAGTAACTACAGAGGATAGCTTCAACCTGCGAAATGCATACCAGGCCGTACACACCGCCCACACTCCTGCCCGGCCTTGAAATGACAGGCGAAGCAGAAAGCCGCAGTCCAGCCCCTCTAGGTCGGCAGCCTTCCTCCTCTCAGACCCGGAAAGTAAGGGGGTACGTGAAAGAAGAGGCGGCTCGGGGATGAAATATCCAGGGCAGAGTCCCTCTGACATTACATTTCCCCAGAGCGAGGCCTCCATGTAGGGCCCAAGGTCCGCGGGCAGGCCCCGGCCGCCCCCGCCCACGGGGCTCGCTGACTCCGGCTTTCTCAGGACCGTCTTGTTCCCACGCTCCGGCCCCCAAAACCAAGCAAAGGAGCCGAAGCATCGGCCTCAAAACCCCGCGAGGGGGAGGGTCCACGCCGTGGGGCTTCAGACCGGCCGCTCCCGGGCCCTCCGGGTCCCGCAGGGGCGCCCAAGGGGGGCGGTTTCCCTGTCCTCCCGGAGGGCGCCCCGGGCCCGAGCCCCCAGAGGAGTTGGTATTGGTTCCCTCTTTTTTTTTCGGGGACCACCTAGCCCAGCAAGTGTGGTCCGGCCCGCCCTGGAGCTCACCTTACGTCCCCGGCAGCCGCCCGTGGGTCAATCGGTCCCGAATTCCGTCCACACACAGCGTCTTCCGGCTCCTGCCGGAAGCAGCTCGAGCGCGGGACAGGAAGTTTGGCTGCCCCCACGCACACACCCACTTTCTTGCCCCCAGGCTGAGTCGGGGGTGGCGGGTGCAAGGTTCCCACCGGACGACCTGGTTTGCAGCGCAGGGCTCCGCGCTCGGACCGAAGGCGCCGCGGTCTCTCACCTCCCACTCGTTCTCTATCGGTCTTCGGGGCTCCGAGGTCTGCAAAGCCCGAAAAAAAAACAACGGGGTCGGTTCGTGCTAGCCGTGACGTCACTGCTTCCCTGCAGCGGCGGCTGGGGTCGTTGTACCCGTCAGCTGAGATCTGTACTGGCTACGATGGAGGCGAGCGAGAATGATCACTACTGAGACTTTTATCAGAGTTCTCAGGGAAGGGGATCGCGAAGCTTCACTTCCCTGGGAAGGGAACTTGCAGAACTAGTTCTGCACTGTATACTGAGCAGGGTAAGAATTGAGACTCGAGTGTAGATATAACTTTTGGAATATGAATTCCCTAGCGCCTGGGTTCCACATATTTGTAAGTAAAGGGCTCGCAGATGTCCTGACTGGGGGCTAGACCACTTGCGTTCCAGGCTGGATACCACCACTTGTGAGAGCTTTGTGAGTTTGACTAATTTGATAGTGCTGCTCGCAGAACCATGGAGAACTCAACAGTGGGAATTAAAGGAATTCTCTAAGAAAAACACTTAAGATTATAGGTAAACCTTGAAGACAGGCATATAAATGAGTGAGAGAGTAGTTTGAATATACAAATAAACTATGGTGATTTGCAAAACTAAGGAGAAACATAGTTCAGGGGAAGATAAGCAGATAAAGTGCATTTATCCCAAGGGGATATTTACTTGGAGGTAAAGGTCCCAAGTTCAAGTAAAAAAGAGGAAAAAATAGAGATGTAATTTGGGAGTTATTATCATACAGAGATTGGCCCAGGAAAATTATATAAAACAAGAAAGAAGGCAACTAAGGACAACCAGAATGACTGATTACAAACACAATTTGAATCTACTTTCTATAAAAGTTGCCAACAAAAGTATATTGCAGGAGGGGGGTAGAGGGTGTCAATGGGCCCGGGGAAAGGGGGATATCTAATACTTTTAACAATAAGATAAAGTGTTTTTTAAAATTATATGCAGTGTATAAACGTGACCATAAACCAGCAGGACACTCAAAGAAAACTATCCTCAATTTTACTGTGGTTTTTTTTTCTTTTTTATTGAATTTATTGGGGTGGCACTGGTTAACAAAATTTACAGGTTTCAGATGCATAGTTCCACAACGCATCATCTGTAACACTGTACTGCGTATTCACCACTCCAAGTGAAGTCTCCTTCCATCACCATTTATCCCCTCTTTATTCTCCTCCACCTCCCCCACCCCGGCAAACTGTCATTTAGAGTTACATTTGTAGATCTTGAACATTCATGTTTACAATCATTTGTTAATTTGCCCATTCCATGCTAACATTTTCTGAAGCTGTCTTTGTTTTAATCCTTTAAAAAATAAATTTATATTGATTTTTAGAGAGAGAGGAAGAAGAGGAAGAGACAGAAACATCAATGGTGAGAGAGAATCATCGATTGGCTGCTTCCTACACACCCCCTATTGAGAATGGTGCCTGCAAACCAAGCATGTGCCCTAACCAGGAATCAATCCAGTGACCTCTTGGGTCTGGGGTCCATGCTCAACCACTGAGCCACACCAGCAAGGCTGCCTCAATCTTTTTAATCACCTAAAACTCTAAGTGATGTTTACCTATTTGCCCTGGAAATCTTGACAACTATTTACAGTATGTGCTTGCTAACCTAAAATAAACATATGCTTTTATCAATAAATATTTGAGTTATTAGACTATTCAGTAAATTATTTGGCATAACACAAATAGATCTTCTGTAGCAAATATAGTCTCTCCATCAACCGAATGAACCTCTATCTTCTCATACTTGTCTCAACACAGAGCTCTGAATTCCCCCAAACTCCACACAAACACCTGCCATTAAGTCCCTTTTCCATGTACAATATAGAAAGGCCATCCCAATTTTCTTCTTATGCCAAGTTTCAGTTCAAGAATTCTGTAAAACATTTCCAGTTCTACAAATATTTACTAAATGCCTTCTCAACCATTTCATTTTCAATAAAAGATATTAATTTTGAAAAGCTATTTTGTATGATCCATTAATAGTTGTATCAAATCTCCAGTGGTTTCAGTATGTCTGATAAAAATATCATATGTGCCAAGACCTGTTTGGCTCAATGGATAGAGCGTCGGCTTGGGGACTGAGGGGTCCCGGGTTCGATTCCGGTCAAGGGCATGTACCTTGGTTGCGGGCATATCCCCGGTGGGGGTGTGCAAGAGGCAGCTGATCGATGACTCTCTCTCATCGATGTTTCTAACTCTCTATCTCTCTCCCTTCCTCTCTGTACAAAATCAATAAAATATATTTTAAAAATATATATATATCATATGTAATAATTTTAGGAAAAGAAAGAAAAATAGATCATTTTGACTTCAATCTACTTCTGTAAGTAATATGCTGGATGTAGAATACATATATAATTTGGAAGACATAGAAAGAATTATTTTGCAACTAAGAAAATAATCACCTATTATTACATTTAAACCAAAAGCTATCTGCACTCTAAGGTTATTTTTTTAATGTGTCTTGAGTCTTTGTACAAAATGGAAAGAAATCTGTATTTCTTTGATGAAGATGTTTATAGAGACTGCAAAGAGGTTTCTTCTGAAATGCACACTATCTGCTTTCCAACATTACCTCCTGTCATCATGGACACGAATGCAGCTAGAAAGAAAAAACAAAACTCAGTTGTTTCAAAACATAAATGTCACTATCATACATAACTATTGGTAGCTCAAACACCAGAATTTAAAAAATTATTTCAATGATTTTAATATTAAGTATAGAAGAAAACTGTCATGAAAAGAAACTTCACATATATACTGGCAAAGTTACAGAGTAAACTAACTCAATTAGCATCTTAAAAACTGTTTTTACGCATCAGGCTGGCGTGGCTCAGTGGCTGAGTGTAGATCTATAAATCAGGAGGTCACGGTTCAGTTCCTGGTCAGGGTATATGCCTGGGTTTCGGGCTTGATCCCCAATATGGGGCATGCAGGAGGCAGCCAGTCAATGGATACTCTCTCATCATTGATGTTTCTATCTCTCCCTCCTTCTCCCTTTCTCTCTGAAATTAATGAAAATATATTTTAAAAAAATTTTTACTGAAACTAGAAATGTTTAATTGGTGTCTATATCGACATGCATGACTTACAGTCTGAAAACTAGAGACAAATAAGTTTGAAAATACAATATCAGCAAAACAAATCCATTCCACTTTAAACAATAAAATAAAATTTAAAAAACAAAACAAAAAAACAAATCCATTTCTATATAATAAAAGGCTAATATGCAAATCAACCAAACGGCAGAATGACTGGTCGCTATGTTGTGCACTGACCACCAAGGGGCAGACGCTCTATGTGGTCAGTGCGCTCAGCCAGAAGCCGGGCTAATGGCTGGTGAGCGCAGCGGTGGTAGCAGGAACCTCTCCCGCCTCTGCAGCCACTCTAAGGAATATCCGACTGACAGCGGGGAGCAAGCCTAAGCCATCAGTCAGACATCCCCCGAGGGCTCCTGGACTGCAAGAGGGTGCAGGCTAGGCTGAGGGACCAACCCCCCCCAACAAGTGCATGAATTTTATGCATCGGGGCTCTAGTTTTTATATAACAGTTAAAATATCAGAAATCTAATCGTAAAGTTTTACTAAGTGAAATATACATTATGCCAGAAAAATAAGTGAAATTATATTTCTGTTTGGTAAACTTAGTAACCAAAAACATTACATTTTTTTCTGAGAAAGAAAAAAAATAATTGAATCCCTTTTATTTTTAAAAAATATATTTTTATTGATTACCCTACTGGGATTTGCGCCCACATCCTGTGATCTCCCTGTTCATAGGTCAACACTCAACCACTGAGCCACACCAGCCGAGCTAATCCTTTTTATTTATTTTTTATTATTATTTTAAAATATATTTTATTGATTTTTTTACAGAGAGGAAGAAAGAGGGATAGAGAGTTAGAAACATCGATGAGACAGAATCATCAATCAGCTGCCTCTTGCACATCCCCTACTGGGGATGTTCACGCAACCAAGGTGTTGGTGACAGGATGTAAGCTGACAAGGTCCTTGCATCTGAGGGGGCTAGCAGGGCTGGCCCCCTACCCAAACAGTTTTCCCTGACTTGTTTGGATAGCCATTATCAGTAGAATGGAAGTAATTTATGTAGTAGGAGAGCAACATTTTATGTCTTGCCAGGAAGTCTGTATTTACAATACCTACTTAAGATTTATAGTACTAAGAATTTGTCCTTCTGCTCTATCTCTCCTTTAGAGATTAAGAGGAACAAGAAATATACTCCTCTTGACAGACCTCCTAATTAGTGCCTTGTGTATAAAAAGCATTGCGCAGTGAATAAACTTGCTACAGTTCCTCGATGACTTGTAGTCCTCCCAACCCTGCTCTTCTGTCTTTCTTTTCTCAATTCCCACCTCCCTACCTCAGCCCGGTTCAACCTGCCAGGCAGACCCTGGCACCAAGGTACATGCCCTTGACCGGAATCAAACCCAGGACCTTTCAGTCCACTGAGCCAAACCGGTTTTGGCATCCTTTTTATTTAAAACAAACAAAAGAGCCAGTAGCGGGTTGAGCAGTGACCTATGAAGGAGGAGGTCATAGTTCAATTATGGTCAGGGCATATGCCTGGTTGTGGGCTCAATCCCCAGTGCAGGAGGTAGCTGATCAATGATTCTCTCATCATTGATGTTTTCATCTCTTTTCCTCTCCCTTCCTCTCTGAAATCAATAAAAATATATTTTAAAAGAAAAAGACCCCAGAGAAGTAGAAGCAAAAGAAAAATGTATTATTTGTGCTGAGCACATGTCCTATATAATAAAGAGGCAATATGCAAATTGACCCGCACACCCTCGCACAAGATGGCCGCCCTCATGTGGTCAAAGATGGCTGCCACAAGATGGCTGTCAGGTGAGGGTAGTTGTGGGCAATCAGGCCAGCAGGGTAGGGCAGTTAGGGTGACCAGGCCGGCAGGGTAGGGCAGTTGGGGACAACTGAGCTGGCAGGAGAGGGAAGTTGGGGGCAATTAGGCTGGCAGGGGAGCAGTTAGGGGGTGATCAGGCTAGCAGGCAGGTGAGCGGTTAGGAGCCAGCAGTCCCGGATTGTGAGAAGGATGTCCACAGGGGTTGGGCCTAAACTGGCAGATGGACATCCCTCAAGGGGTCCCAGACAGGGTGCAGGCTGGGCTGAGGGACTGCACTCCCAAGTGCATGAAATTCATGTACCAGGCCTCTAGTATATAATAAATCTACATGCATCTTACCTCCCATGTTTTCTAATCCATTTGTCATAGTTTCTTTAATCTGTAAATAAAAATAGCTAAACTTAGTATTCTTTAGACTTTAATGTTTCTACTTAATAGTTTTCATGTTTGCAAAAGACAGCAATACTATTTAGCACTTTCTATCTAAAAATAGGTATTCTTAAAAAAATAAATAAAATAAAAATAAAAATAGACATTCTTAATTTCATGTAGGTAACCAAAAAGGTTTCCTATCAATTAATTTTTAAAAATAAAATCCTATTTTCCCACTGTCTAACCTTCCACTGGTAAGAGCACAAGCTATATACCCTCTTTTCCAAAAGTACATAAGCATACACACATAAATTTTACTTATCGTTCGCAGGTTTTAAGAACATGCTAGGTTAGGTCAGGGTCTCTGGACCCCAGATTAATAACTTCTGATTTTAAAGCAAAAATAAGACATATCAGAATGTCCTGGGAGGGCAGGAGAGAAAAATGGTAGTGGAGAGGTAGGGGTACTAAGAGGTGCTTATAAGATTTTTGAGAAAGCACAGTTTCTGACACATTGTAGCATTCCATATTAATATTTATTAAATTAATATTAAAATTTAGGAAGGAAAAGCTATTGATCTTACAGTATAATCTAAGAAAAGTATAAGGTTAATAAAATCAGGTAAAGGGTATAATAACAGAGGGCTTCTCAACCAGGAGGTTATATCACCTGGGAGGTAAAGTTAATTTATAATATCCAGTATACTTCCCTTTTGTAGGAATTTTTATTCTGAAACTAGTACATTGCTAGAATAAATTCAAAAGCATATCAAACAGCAGGAAGAATGCTATTGATAAGAAATAGAAGCAAGTTCTACCTTTAGCTTTCCTTCTTTAAACCATTGACTTAGCTGTAGAATACCAGACTCAAATTTGTCCTTATAATTTAAGACCATAAATCTTTCTCTGTATTGGGAAAGAAAAGAATAATGATCAGAGACCAGTAGGGGAATAAGAGTCCAAAATGAAATCATTCCAGAACGCTATTATCTGTTAATCTTTCAAACACAAGAACTTAATCACAGAATCTGGCCAGATGCAGGTTTAGGTGTAGAGACAGGGATCAGTGCAGCGGAGTTCTATTGTTTTGTCTGCCCAGTATTTACGACCCCGTTTGGTAATGGCTCCATGATTTTACTTAATGGGCACCCCTATGTGACCAGAGCCAGGCCAGTGTGAGCCAGGGAGTATCACCTTTGGGACCTGATAAAACTGCGAAGAGAAAGCTGTTCTCTTTCTGCTTGGATTGTTAACCTGGAAAAATGTAAGACTAGAGCCTTCAGACTGAAGGGTCCCAGGTTCAATTCCAGTCAAGGGCATGTACCTTGATTGCAGGCACATCCCCAGTGGGGGGTATGTAGGAGGCAGCTGATCAATGTTTCTCTCTCATCGAGGTTTCTAGCTCTCTATCCCTCTTCCTTTCTCTCTATAAAAAAATCAATAAAATATATTTTAATTTAAAAAAAGGTAAGATTACCCAAAACTGGTTTGGCTCAATGGATAGAGCGTCGGCTTAAGGACTGAAAGGTCCCAGGTTCGATTCTGGTCAACGGCATGTACCTTGGTTGAGGGCATATCCCCAGTAGGGGGTGTGCAAGAGGCAGCTGATCTATGACTCTCTTTCATCGATGTTTCTAACTCTCTATCTCTCCCTTCCTCTCTATACAAAATCAATAAAATAAAAAAATAAAAATAAAAAAAAGTAAGACTAAAGATAAGAGCCATCCTCTGCTGCTGAAAGAGGAGAGCCTAGGTGGGAGCACAGCCCAGAGGTGGAGAAAAACTGAGTCATGATGCCATTATACAAACCCTTTATCCAGCCAGATCTCAGTCAGTACTGTACTAATATTGCATTTCTCAGTACATGAGCCAATAAATTTCCTTTGTACTTAAGCTAATATGGTTGAGTTTCTATTACTTGCAAAAAAAAAAAAAAAAAAAAAAAAAAAAGACTTGCAAAAAATTTATAGAGCAGATGCAATCTTTTTAAAGTTTTCTGCCAAAGGGCTAGTTAACCAAAACCTAAATACTGAATCAGCTTAAAATATATATTTGTAAGTTTTATTTACTAAGAAAAAAATTACATATGGAGAACAATACATTTCATATACACCTATGATCTTTAAACCCCTTGAATTTGATAAAAACAGGAAGAGGTAGGACACACCTTGCAATGTTTCTTTCTTTCTGGATTGCCTCTACAGCAGGAGGCAGTGGAGGAGGATAAGGCACATCTTTGTTGTACTGAGAAATTTGACCACACAGGATGATGTGACTGTTCTTATTCATCTGTTCAGATAAAACAGGTGATTATACCCTAAGACAGTGGTCGGCAAATTCATTAGTCAACAAAGCCAAATATCAATGATTGAAATTTCTCTTGAGAGCTAAATTTTTTTAACTTAAACTTCTTCTAACGCCACTTCTTCAAAATAGACTCACCCAGGCCGTGGTATTTTGTGGAAGAACCACACTCAAGGGGCCAAAGAGCTGCATGTGGCTCGCGAGCCTCAGTTTGCTGAGCCCTAAGATATATGCCTTTCCCATGTTAGACTTTATGGCTGTCTCAAAGAAAGCCTCTTTGACCATTGAATTTAATCCTTTAGTGCCAGTTAATACATTTCATTTTAAAGATTTACCCAGTATATGTATTTAAGAGTCTTAACTGGCTAGAAAATAAGTCCACTCTAAAGGAATTAAGAGGTAAATGAGAATTTGGTAATCAGCAAAAGAATTACATTAATTGTTGCTATTGTTGTTGCTACTTTTAGTGGTAGTAGCAGAGTATTTCTTTGTATTTAAATAATTTAACCTCAATTGCAAATAATTTTACCTATAGTAAAGAACAATGCAGTGTTAATAGCTAATGTTCGTATTTTATAACGTTGTCAATGAAAATAGGTAAAAATACCTACAATCTATGAAAATCCATTCCCTACTCAAAGTCAGGGGCCATGGCTGAGTTGGTTCGTGGTGAGTTAGGAGTCAGAACTTCACCATTTGAACAATACAACTGTACTTTTCACAAAAAATTAACTGCAGGTGAAAATATAATAATGCTAGCAAAGAACTGAAAGTGATGTTCATAGTGCAAATCTGTAAGTAAATGGAAGTAGATATATCAGCAAGCTCTTCTGTATCACTTAATTACAGTACTGATCATCATTAGTTTCTTTTTCTCAATAAACCCTACAATCTTATAAATTTTTTTCTATCTCTTAATATCAGGTACAAATATCACATCAAATAAAATATAGCATTCAAATTTATAAGAAACAAATCAGCAAAATACCTGACTTATCACTGTATTACTTATGTCACCGCCAACATTGTCAAAGTAAACATCCACACCAGATGGGCATAGTTTCCGGAGCTGTTCTGCTACGTTATCTTTTTTATAATTAATAGCAGCATCAAAGCCCAGTTCTGAGGTCAAAAGGAGGCACTTCTCTTGTGTTCCACAAATTCCCACCACTCGGGAACAGCCCATCAAGTGACCAATCTAGGGGGGAAATTTTTGAAAATTAAACAACTTTCTAGGTCACGTTTACATTTTAGAATGTGAAAGCATATAAGATATTACAAGTATATGAGAGTGTTCGCCACAACTTAGGTTAGATTACAAGGCTTTCAGCTAAAAGCAATTTGAAATCAAAAGAACAGAAAACAGATATAATGTCATTCTTAAAAACATTAAGATTGAATAAAATTTGACTTAGTTTGAATGTTAAAATTTCAGAATTTAAAGCTAATTTAATAAAAAGAATAGTCAGACCCCAAACATCACTAAATTGCAATTGAATATTTTTCAGTGGGATGGATCTTGAGCGTATAGTATTATGCTAAGTGAGGTAAGTCAGATAGAGAAGGGAAGAATTTGTTTTCACTCATGTGGGATATAAAGCAAAAAGCAACAAAGGAACAAACAAAAAAATCCATAGACCCAGACAACAGAATGGTGGTTTCTAGAAGAAAAGAAGGTAAGGGCAAGGAGGGTAAAGGGGTCAAATATATGGTGACAGAAGGAGACTAGGCTAGGTGGTGAGCACACAACAGAGTACACAGATGTCATAACAAACTTATACACTTGAAATTTATATGTTATTAAACAATGTCACTCCAATAAATTTAAAAAATTTTAAAGTTTCAAAATACTTTTCAGGCCTGTGAATAAAAACACTACTAAGTTTTTATTATTTATTTCAGAGGTTTCATACTATAAAGACTACTATTCATAAAAACAATGCATTTTATAAAATTCTACATTATATTTATTATATTTGAAGACTTTTTTTTTACAATATCAGTTTTTGTGGAGTTTTTTGTTAATCCTCACACAAGGATATTTTTCCCCATTGATTTTAGAGAGAGAGGGAAGGAGAGGGAGAGCTGGAGACAGAAACATCAATGTACTAGAGACACATAGATTGGCTGCCTCCTGCACTGGCCAGGGATTGAGTCTGCAGCTGAGGTCTATGCAGTTATACCCTAACTGCAACAGAACCTACAAACCTTCAGCTCACAGGCTGACATTCTAACCACTGAGGTAAACTGGTTAGAGAGAGTTTTTGTTGTTGTTGTTGTTTTTTTGTTTTTGTTTTTTTAGTTCATGAGTTCCACACAGTACTCTGACTTTCTTCCTTGGAATCATCCTAGTATTTCCCATGTCTATTTTTGGTTAACAGAGAACAAGATACAAAAATCTACATTTTTCATATTATTATAAAGACATTCTAAGCAGGTAATATTATAACATAATTTCTAACAGAAATGAGCAAAATAATCATAAATTTGTTCAATTTTATATTTTAAATTATATATGTACTTAAAGATTAAATTATGACATTTTTAGAAAATCAGAAATTATTACCTGCCCAGCCAAGGATCCACAAGCACCAGCAGCCCCACTAACAACCATTGTCTGATTAGATCCAGGAGTTATATGACCTTTTTCCTGTATCCCAAACAAGGAAGTTAAGCCAGGCATACCAATAGCTCCAAGAAAATATGAAAGATGTCCATTCACGAGTTGCGGGTCTACCTAAAATGAAATATATATCTTTTATTCGTATTTATTTATTTTGTCTAAATATATATCTTTTAAAAAGAAAACTAGGAATTCCAGTTTTAAGTCAACAAGGTAGAAACAGCCTGTTAGAGCACATGTGTCAAACACAAGGCCTGCGGGCCAAATCCGTCCCGCCAGGCCTTGCAATGTGGCCCGCACCGCGCTGTCATCACTGCACTCCACTGCGTTTCCATCACAATGACAGTTTATGACTGTTCAGTAAACCATTCCGCCCGCGATTTAGGCTGGATTTTAGATTTTGGCCCCTTCTCTGATTGAGTTCGACACCCCTATGTTAGAGGCTGAAGTGTGTCTTCCTGAGGACAAAAAAAGGGTTCTACAGAAAGTAACCTCACAGGGTGATCTCATCATAAATTCCTAACAGGGCAGGTCTTGGTGGGTAGCCACTCCCCAGGCATATAACTTCTTAGTAAAAGGTTTATTTTTGCCTTAAGCAAGCCGTCTATTATTATTCTTGTCTATCTTAGGTTCTTGTTAACTATCCTGTAATCCAATTGCTGCCTTGCTTTCTCCCTCCTTCATGTAATCTTCCTTACGTTATCTTCTTAATTTCAAAATGTATAAAAGAAAATGTAAAACTTATTCTCCAGAATATCTGAGATTTTGCTTCCCAGCAATTGTCATCAGTTTGGCTCAAATAAAGTTTTTAAAATATATTTTTATTGACTTTAGAGAGGAAGAGAGAGAAACATCGATGATGAGAGAGAATCCTTCATCGGCTGCCTCCTGCACACCCCACACTGGAGATCTGCAATCTGGGCATGTGCCCGGACCAGGAATCGAATCTTGACTTCCTGGTTCTCAACCACTGAGCCGCATGGCCGGGAGTAGAAAATTTTTTATAAGAATTTATTTGAGCCTGGTTGGTGTGGCACAGTGGTTGAGCATCGACCTATGAACCAGGAGGTCATGGCTTGATTCTGGTCAGGCCACATGCATGGGTCACAGGCTCGATCTCTAGTGTGGGGCGTGCAACTGATCAATGATTCTCTCTCATCATTAATGTTTCTCTCTCTTTCCTTCTCCTTTCCTCTCTAAATCAATAAAAATATATATTTTTTTAAGTTTTTTTTTACTGGTTTGGACATTTCTTATATCGACACTCCTAAAATTCACATGTTGAATACCTAACCCTTAATATGACTATACACTGGTGACAAAGGTAGGTTTACAGTTGTGAGTATGCAAAACACAGAGTTTATTCTTATATTATTACTTTTTAATTATTGTACTATTTTCCATACTCATAACTATGTACATGAGCTGCCAGTTTTTGCAGGTCAAAACAGAAAAATATTGGTAATTTCGCATGGTTCAATCTAACAGAAAACAAACTCAAGATTTCTGACACAAGATGGAATTTTAAGCCCAAACCAAAGGAATTTCTTAAGTGTCAATTTCTCAGGAAACTTTAAAGCATACGACTATAAGGGGCCTCTGGTTCTTAGTATAAAATCTTTTTTAATGCTTAAGTACTCAGGTTTTATTTTATATCTGTAAAATTTGAGAAATAAATTAAATATGGAAAATTACCACTCACTGGTAATCTAAGAACTGTCATATATAGTTACAGCCAATAGTGGAAAAGGAATAGAGGCTTTCCACATTTTTGCAAATATCTAGAAGAAAATGTATGCCTCCTACCTCCCACCCTCATATCAAACAACTGAAGACCAAAGGTACAAAGTAAGAATTACAGTGGAGAAAAATACTTTTACATTATACATCACCTTTTCTAGGATATTTCCATCCAGAATAACCTTGGTTTGCCAGGGCCAGTAGAAAGAAGTCACAAAGTCGCCTTTAGTAAAATTTGTGTGTTTGCTTTCTTCTATAATCCCAATACCTCCTCCGTCAACCACTTGAGACAACTGCCAAGGTGCTAAATAATCAGCCCCCGAGTCTTCATTCATTTTACAGCGCTGAAAAAGAAAACACTGATTAGCGTAATTCTGTCTAATAATACTGAACCAGTTTACTAATTTATCTAGCGACTAAAGGAAAGGTATATAATAAGTAATGTTAAGTAAAGCATTAATCAAACAAATAAAATGTATCTTAATTTCTATCTTCCTTTCAGTTTTTTATTCTGAAAAAAAAAAAATTGTATCCTCTCTCTAACAAGAAGTGCAATTCAAAAGAAATTTAAGTATATTCTAAAGTGATGATAGTTCCACAATTTTGTAAATAGACTAAAAACCATGAATTGTACATTTAAATATGTAAATTGTATGATACATATATTATATTTTAATAAAGCTATTAAAATTTCTAAACAATTACTTGAATGCATTTAAGTAATGTTACAGACATTATACTGGCAAAATTAATACAAACTACTGTGCAACGGTTTCAATGGATTTTGGCAAATTAAGTATACTTATATGTTGCTGACAATATTATGAAACTGTCTACTTTTTATAGAAAACAAATTAATAACATATAGACCATAATGGTACTCATTTCTTTTGGCCTAGCAATTCCTCTTCCCCAATGGAAATAACAAATACAAAAATGAAACTATTTCTTATTTGTATTGATTTCAGAGAGGGAGGGAGAGAAAAGAAAAGGAAGGGAGAAATAGAAACATCAATGATTATAGTGAATCATTGATCTGCTGCTTCCTTCATGCCCCCTATTGGATATCAAGCTCACAAACAGGGCATGTGCCCTGACTGGGAATTGAACTGTTACCTCCAAGTTCATAGGTCAACACTCAACCACTGAGCCACACTGGCCGGGCAAAACAATTTTGATACAGTCGTTTATCACCATCCCTTCTGAACTCCTCTTCCTAATTTCTAATATCACCTATTCCCAAAACAATTTTAAGCTTTCCCCAACTGTTCAATTTTCCACAATAAAACAATGATAGGGGAAACTTCAGATCAAACACGACATCATACCCCTAACCTCAGGTGGATGTTCTCTTTATTCAGCAAAGAAAAAATGCCACAATGACACCACACTCTCCCATGAGACTATGCTAGACATCCTGGACATTAGTGAAGGCTCTCTTCTTCTCTGTGGCTCACTCTTGCCTCTCTCATGAAGCCAAGAATTGGAGGCCTACAGTGTGGTCCGGGAGATGGAAAAGACGGAAACACTGCTTGATCAAGGTGGTCTAGTTCAGTTAGAAAAGACCAAGCAGGAATTGAAGCAGAAGCTTCTATAGGTACATGCTCACTTCTGCTTCAGTGACCCTCCCATGTATTTTTGGAAAGCAAGTGCAGCAGCCATTGGATATTGGCCAGACCAAGGACCTGACTCAAACAAGGCTAAGAGAAAAACAGAACCAACAATGTAATGATATTTTCACTAAAATATGTATATAAAGTCATTTAAATATAAATCAAAATAATGTATACACATTACATATCACCATGTAAAATACTGTATACACATGTTGATTAAAATTAGTTGTGATTTTGGAATGATATAAAATTGCAATGATTTAATGTTCATTAGATTCCTTTTCTTTTTTCATTTAAAGTTGTTTATGTTCTTTTTTTTATAGAACAATGTCTAGTGAAGGCAAGTGAATAATTATAATTCCCAAGTGGAGTGGCATGGCACACCGTATCATGCATGGCCACCTGGGAAAAGGAGTGAGTTCGAGCTTCCTTCCTTCCTTTAATTAATACTTAATAAGCACCATGCTAGTCCCTGGAGATGGAGTGATAAATAAGATCTTACAAAATGGATAAATTTGAGAGAGTTTCCAATCCTAATTTACTATCTTTAAGCTTTACTTACTACTGGGAAGTAGTCTGGACATTTGGAAGAAACTGACTAACACATGTGTTACTATTATGAAAATCTTCCTCCTATAACATTCCTTAATAACACTAGTAAATAAAAACAAAGGCAATCTGTAATTCACAAGTATCAAAATATAATTGCTCCAATGTTCATTAATCATGAGGATTGATTAATACGATTCAGGTACAGCATTAGAAAATATAAAAGTACTGTAAAATTAATTTTCACCAAGTCACAAAATCCTGATTCTTACCATGTAAGGATCCACAGAAAGATAAAGAGTTCTGGCTTGTACTTGTCCTTCATTGATATGATCTGGTAAACTGATTTCTTCTACTCGGAAATTTTCTGCCACTGGATTACCATTTTTCCCTAAAATATTAGGTAAAAATATAAAATAACTCATTTTTCTATATAATTACTTACTATTCTTTAAAAGGTCACTCTAGCCGGGACCGGTTTGGCTCAATGGATAGAGCGTCGGCTTGGGGACTGAAGGGTCCCGGGTTCGATTCCGGTCAAGGGCATGTACCTTGGTTGCGGGCATATCCCCAGTGGGGGCTGTGCAAGAGGCAGCTGATCGATGACTCTCTCTCATCGATGTTTCTAACTCTCTATCTCTCTTCCTTCCTCTCTGTATAAAATCAATAAAATATATTTTAAAAAATAAATAAATAAATAAATAAAAATAAATAAAAGGTCACTCTAGGGTCCAGAGCACTGTCTTTTAATTTGGGCATGAATAAATCTATATTATTTTGTAATTTCTCTATAACTCAATATAAATTCTTCAAATAGTTTTACTTGCTCTTCATTTTCTCTAAGAAGATCCTTTGGAATATTGCTGTCAACTTTAAGACTTCTTTTTTGAGATGACTACAGGTAAATCACCTCATTTGTTTTAAAATTTAGTAAGATTTCATGTTGAGACCAGTTTGGCTCAAGGGATAGAGCGTCGGCTTGGGGACTGAAGGGTCCCGGGTTCGATTCCGGTCAGGGGCATGTACCTTGGTTGCCGGCATATCCCCAGTGGGGGCTGTGCAAGAGGCAGCTGATCGATGACTCTCTCTCATCGATGTTTCTAACTCTCTACCTCTCTCTCTTCCTTTCTGTACAAAATCAATAAAATATATTTAAAAAATAATAAAATTTAGTAAGATTTCAAAAATGAAAAATCATAGACAGCTTCTTTAAATACTAGAGGCCTGGTGCGCGACATTCGTGCACTAGGGGGGGAAGAGGTGTTCCTCAGCCCGACTGTGCCTTCTCACAGGGTCCTTAGTGTGGCTGCTGAGGCGGGAGAAGGCTCCCACCACCGCAGCTGCGCTCACCAGCTACGAGCCAGCTTCTGGTTCCCACAGGGGGAGCACACTGACCACCAAGGGGCAGCTCCTGTGTTGAGTGTCTGCCCCCTGGTGGTCAGTGCATATCATACCGGTGGTTCTGTGGTTTGGTTGATTTGCATATTGGCCTTTTATTATATAGGATTATGAAAAGGCAATAAAACAAAGGCAGCATGAGCCCAATCCTCTCAGGTTGCTTCCATACTTGCTTCTATGACTCAGGTTAGAGATCAGCACAGACATAGGTCAGTGCTATTCACATCAAAAGAAAAGCAAATTTTAGGAACCAATGACACATACTATAAATAAAAAACAAAAGCCACATCGTTGTAATATAATCTTTTAAATACAGTAATTCTAAAATACCTTATTTTTTCAACAAATGGCCTTGATATCACTTGAAAGACTGAATAGTACATTGTTTAAAGAATTTCTTCTAATATCTCTGCTATTATTACTATCTTCCAACCTCAATTTACCACATTAACATCATATGGATACTCTTGTTCCTCCATTTGCATTAATAATTATCAAAGACCACAGTTTTTCACATTCATCACAGATAAATACGTACCGGGTCGGGAATTTAACACCACTCTTTGTGCAATCATCACCTTGTTTGCACAGGGATCTCACAAGATTTCTGTATATAAAGTAATTCCTATTGATAGAAAACATTTTAAATCACAAGGAAGTTTGTAAACATTAAAACAATTTAAAAATAAAAAAGCACATTTGGGGGGAGAAGAAAAATCATATTTAGGATACAAAAAAGATATTGTTCCCTGTCAGAGTTTGCCTCCTAAAACAAAGATATGAAGGACTAAGTCTAATTAGGAAGTTTGTTTAATAGAAACAAATTTGTTGAAGACTGAATGGGCAGAATGTTTTTGGCCTCATAATTCAAACGCATTCATCTTCATTATTAAGCCTCCCACTGAGGCTTGATTAAAAGAAAACAGCAGGATATATTCCTCCAGAGCTAGCCAGGCAATCCTGTGAGTCTTCTTGTTCCCTCCTTCCTCTGCCAAGTCTAACATGTGGGGATTCCCCAAGACCTCTCCCTTTCTCAGGGACCTCGCCTTCCTCCTGGGCTCCCACTGCCCATCCCTCATCTGGAAATGATTAGAAATCTGCATCTACAGCCCAGAGTTTCACTCTGACTTCCCAGACTGGAAGCACCAGGAGGACAGGGATTTGTATCCGTTGTTCAATGATTTATGTCCAACCCCTAAGCCTGGCACAGGGCAGACACTCAAAAATGTGTTAAACGGACATCTCAGAGGCACCTTGGACACAAGCGTGTCCAATCCTGAGGTTGCTTAATCCCCATAATTCTTTTAAAAAAAAAACAAAAACACCTGTTTCTTCTTCTCCAGCATTCTCTTTTTTTTTTTTTAACCAATACAAACATTTATTACCTAAATCAAAAAGGAACAAAATGAGTGAAATTCTAACGTCCATATTTGTTACTCCATTGTCTTTTTTTTTTTTCAACAAAATTGCCAAAAGTCATAAAACATTAATCTCCAGCATTTTTTATTCTAAGTCCTAGGTATTGGCGCCTAGCTTTTCCCGCACCCGGAGGGACGGCCTACCCAGCTGAAGGCGCCCCAGACCCACAGGCGCACCCACGGACGGCCTGCGCGGCTCACTCACCGCCGCCGCGCCCCGAGCTCCGCGGGAAATATCGCGCGGTTTGCGGCGCGGACCGGGGCTCACTGCGCGACTTCATCCCTTCGGCCGCAGTGCGCAGGTGCACGACTGGACCTTTGCTACAGTTCCTCCGGGGACGGTGAGAGGCGGGGCGGTGCAGAGCCAGGACGGTCACGCGTCTGGGCAAAGTGTCTTAATAAGTTAGCTCGACAGGCCGCCCCTACCGCTTGTCCGCAAAGAGCAAATCGTGAGCTCGCTTACTCGTTTTGTGGATTTCTCCGGAGCCTTGGGCTGGCACACTGCACTGAGAGAGGGGCCGTCAAGCCTACCCCATCCATGTTGTGGATGGAGAAGCAGATTCCGAGGCCTGATGTGATTGGACCACCCACCTTCCAGTTGGTTGCGGGGCAGTGCGGGGGTTAAAGCCGGCTCTGTAAGACTGTGGGCCTGGGGTCCTTTCCCAGTGCTTTAAAAGCAAGGCTGCCTTTTCTTTCACAAAACATCCCAAATTCCTCAAAGATGGATTACCCAGCTTGGGAGATTTTTCACTTTCATTAATTATTCATTGTTTCCTTTTGTGCGCACGTGGCTTGAGCAAGGCTTATTCCTAGGACAGCTTTCGAACCCCTGGGAACCTAAGACAGACCACCCTGATTCCTGTCCGAGCTAATAGTGCAACCCAGATTGTGGTGTTCAGTAGCTGAAAAATAACTGGAATGGTGAGCAAGGGGGTAAGAATCATTAAACAAGTTGAAGCTCCTAGTAGCGTCACCTCTGAAATTTTTACTTCTTTGAGAAAATTTCAGGAAAGAAGTAGGATTATACTACTTTGCAAGTTCCTATAGGCCAGAGCCTATTTCTTTTATCAGTCTTGTACAAGTAGATCTTCAATAATCTTTCGTTGAAATAACTTGAGCCAACTGATGAAAAAGAAAATACTCAGACTAAAAGTAATAGAGTAAAATAAAGGTAGTCTAAAATTTTGTTTTAGAACTTGATCTTAAAAGAAACAATATTTTAAAGTAGAACAGAACCTGCAGTATTAAAATGGTTTTGACTCTTGATTCTAGGGCCTGAAAACTTGTATCAAGTGTGATTTTTCTTCCCAGAATGAATTCCCTTTAAAAAAAAAAAAAAAAGAGCCAAGAAATTAGCATAATATTTGAGACCTCAAGAGAGGAAACTTATCCAGAACTACCTAACTAACATCTCTCGAATTCCTGAACCTCAGAAGGAACTGTGTGAGATAATAACTTGTTGTTTTAAGCTGCTAAATTTTGGGGTAGCTGATTATGCAGTAATAAATAGCTAATATACTCACTAAAAAAGAATTAGGGCTCTTTGGAGAAATACTCTGATTCCAGATAAGCCTGGAACATTTTTTTTTCTTTTCTGGAAGTTAAGGAAGTTTAAAAAAAAAAAATGATGAGGCATATCACAGGGACACAGAAGCCAGCTTGAAGAGGATCCTACTAGCTAACTCTGGGACAACTTGAACACCAAAATCATTATGATAATGATTTATAAACATTTTAAAAATAGAATCCATTAATCTATACCATTAACAAGCAGTTAGAATGGAGGGGTTTTGCTTACAGTTGAACAACATGGGTTTGAGCTGTGTAGGTCAATTGAAAACAATATGCCTTTGAGTGGGCCACCTCAGTCCAAACCCTCATTGCTCAAGGTTCAACTATATATTCAAGTGCCATGCTCTCCGTGTGTACCCTAACACCTTCTTTGTTAAAGAAGAAAAGAAATCGGTTTGAATTTCCTCTTAAACTGGATTTAACCAAGAGTACAAGGACTTTTAGGCCAGAAAAAAACATTTTGTTTTGTGATAAATGTTAACACATTGCACACCAGTAGTTTTATTGCTAGCTTTACCCAGTGGCCAGATAAGTTTCTATTGAATGAGTACAAAAAACGTTTTACAAAGTATCATACTTTAAAAAGATATTCGCTTGTAAGAACACGTAATAAATAACTTCAAAATGCAATGGGTATTTAATTTTAAGGCGTGCTTTTAACATTTATGTAAAACACTATGTAATATGAAAACACTAGGCGCCCAGTGCATGAATTCATGCACCTTGAAAAGAACTGGGCCTCGAGGCTGCAGTGGGCAAAGGAGTGGGTCTCAGCCCATTCTTCGCACCCCCACCTTTCCCCTCCCACCGCGCCCCCAGTCTCCTGTCTGCTGGCAGCCCTGCTCCCACTGCCGCTCTCACGCTGACAGCATCAGCCCCACTCTTACCCACAGCCAAAGCAATTGGGGCTGGCGCCATCAGCGGGTGTAAGAAGCAGCTGCCAGCCCCGATCACCCCTCAGGAGCAGGGGGAGATGGAGAAGCCTGGAGGGACAATCTGGGCTAGCAGCCGCTGCTCGCACACACTAATAGCGGGGCTGGCGCTGGGTGCCAGCAGCAGGTGTGAGAAGGGCCAGTGCCAACAGCAAGTGCGAACGCCAAGCGGGACCTCGATGTGCAAGAGCAAAGAATTTTCAGTAACCACCAGAGACTCGCCCCAATGACAATGACTGGCACCCCACCTTGGTCTGGCACCCCCACTCACTTGCTCCACCATCCCACTGCAGTTAACACCCGCCATGTTCTGTGCTCTGCTGCCTGCTGCCAATGCCTGCTATGTTCTGCAAGCGCCCCTGGTGGTCAGTGCACATCATAGCAACCAGTTGTTCTGCTGTTCAGTCTATTTGCATGTTAGGGTTTTTTATATATATACATGAGACTGCTCGTGATCCACCCGCACTGTGTTAAGTTTGCTCAAACACCTTAAACTGGTCTTTTCCTCCACCATTGATAGATCTGTGTATGCTTACGGGAACACATGCAAAATTCAGGCTGTCTTCAGGTGTGCTTCAAGTTTTATTTTCTACAAGGGCCTTTGTAAAATATATATATATATAATTGATTTCAGAGAGAAAGGGAGAGGTAGAGAGAGAGAGAGAGAAGTATCAATGATGAGAGAGAATCATTTATCAGCTGACTCCTACATGCGCCCCACTGGGGATTGAGCCCACAACCTGGGCATGTGGCCTGACTAGGAATCAAATTGTGACCTCCTGGTTCATAGGTCGACACTCAACCACTGACCCACACTGGCTAGGCTACAAGAGCCTTTTTTAATTTACTATGCAAATAAGTTCAATGCAATCCCAGGATCAGCATGTGTGACTAACTTGGGCCCTCTTTGGTCTCCACCTTACATGCGTGCAGCCTCAGCCAGGAATACGCTTCCCCGATCACAACTTCAGCCACAGGCTAGGAGAGCCAGCTGTGGGCCTCCTCCTGCTCACCTGCCTGGAAGATGTCACCTCCATTGACAGTTCCTCTGGATGTGGGAATTGCCCACTGCTCCACATAGTGTGCCCCCTTTCAACCACAGCAGAAAAACTTTCTGTATTTATAAAATATCTCATGTTTGAAGAAAAAAAACAAAACATTAAATGCCAACTATATTATTTTAAGGAGGACAAAAGAGTTACATTTCAAAGGAAAGGATCAGGTTGTCTTTTGAAGCACATAAGCATCTATGAAGAACTGAGATTTTAATTCCATTCCATGGTCTTACCTAAGGTACTCAGAGACTTTGTATGATTAATGTAATCTTACAAAAAGAAAAAAAAAAACACATTTATTTTTCTTAAGCTTTTCAGAGAAAAATTAAGCATTCACACAGTGAATCATTATGTTGGAGACAAGTTGAGAGATCTATTAGTGTCAAGAGAAATTGTGAAAGACTTTAAACTGGGTACTACAGGTTACTGGGTGTCCAGTCTAGCAGATTAAGTGTGCTTTGAGCTATTTGACAACTCTATGTGTTGCAAAAAATCCTGATAGTAGGCCCTAGCCAGTTTGGCTCAATGGATAGAGCATCGGCCTGAGGACTGAAGGATCCTGGGTTCAATTCCAGTCAAGGGTACATGCCCAGGTTGCAGGCTTGATCCCTAGTAGGGGGTGTGTAGGAGGCAGCCAGTCAATGGTTCTCTCTCATCCTTGATGTTTCTATTTCTCCCTCTCTCTTTCTCTCTAAAATCAATAAAAATATATTATTAAAAAAAAAACCTGACAGTAGTACAAATGATTCTTGTCCATAGAAATACAAATGCAAATTGTTCTTAGAGTACAATTGATTTCTCTCCCCCTCACCCAAGAAACCAGTGTTGTGTCTGTTAACCAAATGAATTGCAGCACTGTTAATTATCTGTCTATGTTTCTGCTTCTTTGGATTATCTTTTGAATTAGTTGTAATATCTCACTAGTTCCCTCATTCATTAATGAGTTAAATAAAATATTGGACACATGCTAAGTTTGTATTTGTATAAGTCATACTTTAAAAAAAACAATTAGCCTTTAATAGAAGGGAAGAGTGTGTGTTCATCTCATTTCTGCCAAGCCACACATATTGCACAATACAGGAGGCGGCTCCTCCCTGGCTGAAGACCTGGCCCCTTGGGACTATTTAGTTCTATTATTTCTCTCCTGCTCTTTTCTTCTTGCTCCTCCGTGTTAAATACTTTTTTTATAAATCTATTTTTAAACCTTGGTTCCTTCTTTCCTGAACAACTGGAAAGATAACTAACCAAGTAATATATGTTTTATCTGTGATTAAGGCCATCTCTACGCACACTACATGATATAAATAACTGAAGTACTTAAGTTTTTAAATCAAATTAATTTTCCAGCTTCTCATCTCCAATCTCCCTCCTCCCAAACACCACATTTGCCTTAACATTGCACACACCCTATATATGCTTGTCAAATTAGCAAACAAATGAGTGGATGTCTTTGTGTGCTTAACACCATAGTAAGTGCTCGTGATACTGTATATTATAAGTAAGTGAGAGTCCCAGACCCAGGGAAGTTTGTAATCCAGTTGGGAAGACAGGGAAGCAACAGTATGTAGGATATGATAAATACCAAAAAGAGCGAGATTGGCAATAAATGCTTCATTCATTGATCAATTGAGCAAATAATTATTAATTGTCCATTACATGCAAGCATTGTGGTATATACAATGGTGAACAAGATCAGC